AGATGGCTAACCTTTTCCGGACCGAGTGCTCAAAGTACCCGAATCCCCAAAATTCAATGCGCATGCCCCCCCATGCAAGTGCCCTGCCCCCCACGCATGCCCCAGCATATGCTTTCCCCCTGCACATGTGCACATGGGGCCTCTGCACACACCATCCCCCTACGCATGCACGTGCACCCCCCTCACACGCCCCACCACCTGCACATGTGCAGTAGAGACCCAAAGACCAGCTGGCCGGGGGGAGACGCATGCACATGTGCGGTGGAGTTGAACTGAGACAACGGTTCGTGTGTGTCCACAGAAAGGGCGCTCGTGCCACCTCTGGCACAGGTGCCATAGGTTTGCCATCATGGGTATAGGATCTCCTGTTTGAGCAGGGGGTGGACTAGAAGACCTCCAAAATCCCTTCCAACTCTATTATTCTGTTATTCTTTATTCACACAGCATGATAAGCCACGGTGCTTACTTAATGCTTAAGTAAGCCTTATTTGGCATAGTCTGTTAAATGACAAGAATGTATGTATAACTTAGATAACATGGATTGGATACTATGTGTGATTAGAGAGAAAATATTCCAAGATGCTAAAAAACTGTCCTAGACCCAAAATGTGGAATAATAGAGAGATCAGTAGCTAAATCACAAGCTAAAATTGGTTTGTTTTTATCTTAGTATTATAAGTGAACCAGGCTATTATGACCTATTCAGTAATCCAGTTTTACAAAATCTGCCTTATTGTTACATGTATGCGAGTTCAGCCAACATTTTATTGGAGTAAATACCTGGGGGAAAGGGAGGGAGTTTCCTTGGTTTGAAAAAAGGTACTTTCCATTCATTCATCTATTAAAAGAAACCTTTGTTCATTAACGTTTGCTCATCACCAGAATAAGTACTATTCTTATCAAGTGAGAATAGTAAATTTGTAATGTGGAAAACCATCCATGTGTTTTTCTTCATTTGTATCCCTAATCCAAAGTAGCCCATTAAGATACTGAAATATTATTTAAAATGATTTACAGGAAATGGAGAAAAAGTATTATGCTCAGCTTCACAGAGGGATATGAAGTAAGACATCCATAGTTAATAATTGTTAGAAGAATTAGTATGGGAAAAGACAGAATCATATTTATTACTCACTCCTAAGAGTGGGAAGAAAAATACATGGCCCTTTATTTTCTATTCTCTTTTCTTTCACTTTGGAAGTATCTAGCAATAATGTCCATATCTATTTCTCTCTGTTAGTATTTGTGTATTTCTTTGAAGGCGTGTGTGTGTGTGTGTGTGTGTGTGTGTGTGTGTGTGTGTGGTCTTCCAATGTTTATGGAGTCTTTCAGTCCAAGTTAATTATTCTGCGGTCTTAATGTTACAACCAAGAAAACTTTGCACGAGCTCTCAATTGCAGTTCAATTTGGAACAGAGTTAGTTACGCTTTGAATTATGGGAAGAACTATTATAGCTCAATGCTAAACCCATGTAGATAATCCCAGTTAAGCTGTATGCACTAATCAGCTAGATATAAGGGGTTGGGAGAAAATAACTGCAATCAAAATAACTGCAAGCAATATGATCTAGATTATAGTTGCTTCCGGATATAAATCAGCACCCGCTAATTATGGGTCTTAATAAACTGAATAACAGCACTAATTGTTTTCTATATCCTGTTACATATTAAACTGTGTGATACATTTAAATGGGATATAGTCTTGAAGGCATTCCACAATTATAAATCTCATTCAAGCACAAATTTCTGGTCTGGAGAGAATTAGTATAGCTGAGACTTAATTTTGATCTAAACAAGAGGCAGAAATGTTTTGGGTGGCTGGTGATTTGCACCCAAATCCTATTTGCCCCTGTAGAGATGGAAGCAAAAATAAGGGGGGGAGGGGCAAACCTTATGTGATAATGCATACAGGTAGTCCTCGATTTACAACAGTTCATTAATGACCATTTAGAATTACAACAGCCCTGAAAAAAGTGATTTATGACCATCTTTCACACTTACAACTGTTGCAGCATCCTCATGGTAATGTGATCAAAATTGTTTGGTGACTGACTCATATTTATGACAGTTGCAGTGTCCCCGGATCATGTGATCACCTTTGGTGACCTTCTGACAAGCAAAGAAAATTCATTTAACAACTCTTAGCTTCACTTAGCAACATAAATTTTGGACTCAACTATATTTAAAGAAAATATTCTGGCTGCATTCATACATTGTGCTAAGATGCAAAATGGTTTGTTTCATTTAACACAGTGTAAACCATGTCATTGTAGTTTGCTAATCATTATTTATAGCTTAAATAATAGATTTAGATTTAAATCTATTATTAAATAATAGATTTCAGGGGTGAAATCTAATTTTTTTTGCTATCGGTTCTGTGGGCGTGACTTGGTGTGGGGTGGCTTTGTGGTCATGTGACTGGATGGTCGTGGCCAGTTTGATGTCATTCACATCACTTTGCTGTGCATGGGGCGCTTGGAGAGAGAGCAACCAAGACAGCTTTCCAACCTGTGTGTGTGTGTGTGTGGGAGGGAGGGAGGGAGCGATCTGAAGCTGAGGCACCCAAACTTCTGGCAGCGGCGGGGGCAGCTTCTGAGCAGCCAGCTCCACCTGACCTACTCCCTGAGTCTCGCTGTTCCCCTCGCCCCCACCCCCACCCCACATAAGCAGCAGCTTCCCTGCTCAGCTCCAACAAGCTATGCATCCATGGTGCCCACACCAGCATCCCGAGAGAAGCAGAGAAGATCATCGATTGCAAGCAGACAACCAGAGGTAGCAAGCGTATGCCGTGCTGAGGGAAAAATGAGAGGTCCTGTTGTCCTGCAGAGCCTACTGCTGCTTGGGGTGTGTGTGTGTGTGAAGAGATTGGCGAGACTCAGGGAGTAGGCCAGGTGGAACTGGCTGACTCAGGGCTGCTCAGAAGTTGCCCGCGCCGCTGCCAGAAATCTGGGTACCTCGGCTTCAGATCGCTCCCTCACACACACACACACACACAAAAACAGAGGTTGGAGAGCTCTCTTGCTTGCTCACTCTCTAAGTGCCCCATGCACAGTGTGGGGCACTTAGCACTTTTGAGGAAAGGGAATGCACGGCTGGGCGCATTTGGCTGCAGAAGGAGGCACAGCACAATGGGGTTGTGTTGTTCACCGAGGTGGTACTTTGGGAGGGCAGGCAGATGTCTGCAGCTGACAACTATAATGAATATGTCCACCTACCCTCCCGAAGCATCACTGTGGCGAACAAAACAATCCCATTGCTATGGATGCATAGCTTATCAGGGCTGAGCAGGGAAGCTGCTGCTTGAGTGGGAGGGGGGCAGTAAGCTGCTAGCTCCTTCCCTGCAGCCCTGCCATGCTTGCCTGCGTTCCACATGGACTTCTGCTTGCCTGCCTTCGCAAGCTGGCCACCGGGACGCCAGGAAGGCAGCATGGAAGGCAGGCAAGCATGGCAGGACTGTGGTCCATGGACCGGTTCAGGGGCATGGCCAGCCAGCTATTGCTCCCAGTTCGGCGAACTAGCCTCAATCTCTGCTACCTACTCGCCCGAGCCAGTTCGAACCAGGAGCATTTCACCCCTGCTTAAATATATGCTAGAATTAGGCTGCTGAGTAGAAACCACGCCAACTTAGAACATAGGAATGATGTAGAGCTATCTTTAGTTACACTTTTAAAGCTGACTAACTTATACAATATAATTAATCAAAAATACTGAGTTAAATCCAGGTTAAAATAATGGAAGTGAATCTTTTTTTTTTTTAATTTGATTTATATGCCTCCCTTCTCCAGAGACTCAGGGCGGCTTACAATGCGTTAAGCAATAGCTTATTTAAGAATCTTACTATACTTCGTGGGAATTTTTCATAGCATTGTTTATAAATGCAGCAAATTTCTGACTGATGTAAGAATATACAAGCCTGGTTTACCCTAAGGCAACATGAAGCAATCACTTCAAATAAATTACTAACAGAGTGCAATTTTCATACCTCCCACTCATAAAATCATGGAGGATGGATCTCCTGCCATGTTGGCTTGCCTATTGCTAATTATATTTAATGAACTTTAACACCAGAGATCAGAACTGACAAGCAGAAGAAACAAACATGATCCTTCATACCATCCAATTTCCAGCTTTGCAACCTCTTGTCAAGATTCTGCTTGAAATTACACAATCAAAAAATAACAATATGCTGTTCAACTGCACCTCTATTATAGAAAAAGCTTTTCATGTTAGGTTAAGCTTGGTTTCTTTTTCCTTATGAACTGGCTGGAATCCCAGTTTTGGTGGCAGAATTGTCTTGGGAAAGCCACCAAACAAGAAGGAGTTTAATAGGTGTGGTTTCATTAACTGGGCTTTCCACATTTCTGCCTGCTGTTGCATTACTATTCAGAATGTAGGAGGGAGGGTTCCAGGGTTCAAACACTGCAACTTTTCCTTTCACTTTTCTGTAGTAAGTGATCCTTTTGAATGAAATCAACATGCTGGACACAGGTGGCCTTAATTTGGTTTAAGCCTGAATTAGATTTCCCTGTCACAGCACATCTGGAAACATGTGTCCGTCATTTGGAGACAGTTGAGTAGCTGTTGCAATTATAGGTCTGCGAATGTTAACGCTTTGGGGACGCTCAAGCAGCATAACACAGCAGGAAGTCGGGTGAACCAATCTACACAGAATGCGTACTTCTGTATAGCACAGTTGGGATTTGGGAGGCCTTTGTATCGGGCCCACCTGCAGCCATCTGCCACCTATGCTTACCCTTTCAAGCCCTTCCTAGCACAGGTACGAAGCGATGCCTACACTCTGTTGCATTACTGCATACCTACACTGCAAAGGAATTGTATATTGCAGATGGCTAAAGATGGCCAACACAAATACCCCCCAAATCCAAATTGTGCCTTGTGCTGAGATGCGCGTCTTGAGTGCTGATTGGTTGATCCAACTTCTTGTCTGTTTGAGCGCCCCCTAGCTGGAACGTTTAACATTCACAGACGTATACACGAAACAGCTATGCAACCGTCTCCGAACATTCGCTGACGGGCAATGACGGAGAAGTCTAATCTGGGCTTCAGGCGGCTCTCGGAGAGGAGAGCGTGGGTTGATTGTCAAGCGGCAACGGAGAGGAGGGTGGAGAGAGTAGCTCGCGGCTTTGCAGCTCAGAATGGAACAATAGAGGCAGGGGCGAGAGCCTGAGCCGCTGCTACAAAACAAAGAGCGGCTGGAGACAGGTCCACGCCCCGCTCTCCACCCACTCCCCGTCTTCCCTCCCTCACGTCTCTTCGCTTTTGCTCTAACCTGCTGGAAGGGAAGGGAAGGGAAGAGAGCAGCCGGCCGGGAGCCTCACCGGCACCAAGCGAGCCTTTCGATGCCCAAGCACCCGCGCCATTCTTCGACAGTTTCCCCAACACGCCGGGGATCAGAGAAGAGAAACCTTGGCACAGATACGCTTTCGTTCTTCACCTTCCTTTCGTCTTTCTAATTCCTTCGCTGCGAACTTGCTTTTGGTTGCCAAAACAGTCGGAGAACAGGCGGACAAAAGGCTTTTGTCAACAGCTGCTTTGCAAGCGGCGGCGGCAGCATCCAGGAAAGTTAAACGGGGCGCCGAGGCGGATGGAGAGTTTCTCTGGAAAAGCAGGGTGCCGCTTCTGCCGCCCTCGTCCTGCGATTTCGGCCGAGGGATGGCCCTGCTCTCCCTAACATGCGGCCGCGCTCCCCTTCCGGCTCCGCTGCTTCCTACCTGCGTCTCGGTGGGGGTGGTAGTTCATCCCCCTGCCGCCTCCGCCGTGGTCTCGACAGAGTTAGCTACTCCGCGACGAGCTTCTGCGCCGGGACTATGCAAGACCTCCGAGGAGAACAAAACTGCATTATGTGGATCTCACTCCTGGCTTTCCTAACGGTCGGGCTCGTCTCGCTGCACAAATGCCAGCGGCATCCCGGCCCGGTTCTGGGAATGAGTCGCCTGCTCGCGGTAGTTGTGCCAGGCTTGGGGCAGCGCCGTAAGTTTCTTCTTCCTATCCCGAATCGCATCATGTTTTCCTCCCCATTCTTCCCTCTTCTCTATCTGCCTGTCCACACGTAATCCTTGAGATGCACCTGACTGGTTGTTTGCAGTTGCATCCGCGTCAGCCTCGTTATAACAGTGGACTTGGTCCAAACACGCATAAAATCGAGCTTTAGTTAAACTGAACCCGAGAATCCCAAATCTGAGTTTTCTTAGAGTGTAGCTCTAATATAAAGTTACAGTTATATGAATGTATACTAGCATTGTCTCTTTTATACTAGCATTGTCTCTTTTCTAAAGGAGTTTAACATTTTAAACAAAGCAGGAGTGACTGGTCTAAAGTGAGTCAAACTTAGACAACACAGGAACTTCATATCTTTGAGTACATTCTTTGAAAAGTAATCCTAAATAATGTTGGGTGTTTTGATTTTGGGGTCCTAGCAGCTCCTTATCCTCACTTTGGAGAGAGACATTGGCAATGGTTTCAAAAAAAATTGCCAGATGGGTTGAATAGGATCTCCTGCTTGAGGGGGATGGACTAGAAAACACCAAGGTCAATTCTGGTATTCTCTGTTCAAGGCATCTTTCAAATGTATACAAATTCTGTTACCAGGATTTAAGAAACAACCTTACACATGGTCAGAAACATTGATTCAGCTAGTTTAGTACTAGATGTTTGTGTACTGATAGCAGTTTGACAGATTTCGGAAGCCACCTTTCTCAGTCCTGCTTGTAGATACAAACAACTGAGTTAAACTATTTGCAGTTCATGTGCATGATATGAAAAACTGTAAGATGTTATCACTAATTACTACTTTTTGAAAGCATGTCTGTACTTAACTTCAGATAATTTAATAGTCCCAGTCTTTACTTTTTCATACTATTGCTCTTCAGTTCCATTGGTTACAATATCTCTTCCCCCTGAAACCTTTGAATAGGTGTCATCAAATTGCAGGAGATTCTGCTTGGCAGGTCTTCCCTAATCCATGGAGTCCAGGATTTTGGGATAGTTGAATAAGAAAATATGGTCTGCCCAAGTTCTCTGTTTTAAAATGTATGCCAGACTGAGGAATGCTATTGGTTTATGAAGAGTATATGGGTATTTGCATGTTGCACTGAGTAGAACTTGACAAATCAATTATAAACAGGACAAGAATGTTAGATTTTCTCCACAGATGTAATTAATTCATTACCTAAATAAAATCTGAGCAATTGTTTCACTCTACCCAAACTTCCCATGAAATAATAGCAATGAAAGTTTCAATAGAATAATGGGTAGTAATTTTTAGAAACAATTGAGACTGTTCAAGAAAATAACCTATGTGGAGAAATACTTTCACCTGTTTCTCCTCCTCATAAAACTATTTCACTAACCTTCAGTTATCATGTACTACTGACTATATTATGTGATGTATGTCTTTTGGTGATCAGCACAAGGACACCTATGCAACCAGGTTACATTTGCAAACTTTGTCAGCACTATGATAATTCCAAATTCTTCTCTAAAATATTTTATCATATATTTTTAGAGAATCTATTGGATTGTTAGGGATTTTTGGAAAAAGAGGAACCATATTTAAAATCTTACCCTGTTGTGAAATCCTTAAGATGGTTTTAGGTTGATATCTTTCTTAATTATAATTTCTGTTCTATGAACTGGCACTACACTTGAATCTTAAATCCTTCTCTTCAGATAAAGAAATAAATATTTGGATTTGGCAGGAAGACTCTTACATGGAAGAAACGAAAAGGTTCCTGCATATTTAGAGTTGTCCAGTTAGATCTGTAAGATGTTGGCCTATTTGCTGATTGCCTTACTGTATAGTAAACTTTTTCTGACCTGATGATGTCTAGAAGTGTTGGGATTACCACTCAGAATTTCTAGTCAGAAGTTGGAATCCAACACATCTGGGATGCTTACATTGAGGAATTGTGTTTTGGAATGCGACTGGATATTAGGAATACTTAATACCCAGTCCTAATACCTTATTTTATTTTATTTTATTTATTTATCATATTTGTGTACTGATCCATCTAGTATGAAAGTGACTTGTGTCATACAGCATTTAATTTAAAATATATATATAAAATTAGATGCAATTTTAAAATGTGCTTTTATTTGCATCTTAGCTTAGCTTAGCTTCTGATTTGATCAAAAAGTACCCAGCAGTAACTGAAATCCAAAGACTAATTGCCATTAAGCTTAGTTTGATATTTGAATTAAATAATATAATATCTATTTACCTGAAATAAAGTCAACTTCCCAAATAATTTATCTATGAAATAAAATTTTCTGCAAATATGATGTTTTCTTGTCTAAACTTTTTTGGTGAAAGAGCAGAATTGTCTTAAATGTAGAAGCATCATCCTTTTCTAGTAAACATCTAAATAATTCCATGCCTAGATACCATGGAGAGTGTGCCTTTAACCATGACAGATATGAAGCTATCTAAGAATGGGATCTGTATACAGATTACACCATTATGACATGTGGATTCCAGATTAATTTATTCATTACATTTGCAAATATTTTTGAAACACCAAATTAATCTAATTTGGAAATTGAAGCTAAAGTTTTTATTATTGATGTAGTGAATATCATGTTTCATTTCTTGATTTAAAACATAATAGTATTTGTTGGGGGATATGTTTTTCTTTGCATTTAGCTTATACACCAAGTTTCTGCCTGGAGTCAATTAAAATATTCATGCTGGAACAAGTACGTTATTACATATTTGACCAGTTAATAGCTCATATTGGACATAATAATAAACAAAGGTTTGTGGAAGAAGTCTCTGGCTTCTATTCTGCCCCTCCCTTTTCTCTTCCAGTTTAGCTATGGGAGGGAATTTGGGAATGTTTGTTTCTGATTTCAATTAATCAGAATTACCTAGTATGCCTCAACTATAAACTATGATCTACTTCATGACCTGAGTTATCTTCAAAAACTAAAGCTAGCCTTTTTACTAATCCAAATTAAGACAAATTGCAGTTTGATTAGGTTCATTCAGATATAATATTTAATTATGTTTAATAAAAATTATGTTTAAGGGCCTGGTGGATCAGTAGACTAAAAAAGCATTGTGATTAACACCAGCTGTCTACAATTACTGTAAGTTCGAATCTCACCAGGCTCAAGGTTGACTCAGCCTTCCATCCTTTCTAAGGTAGGTTAAATGAGGACCCAGTTTGTGGGGGGCAATAAGCTGACTTTGTATAAATATACAAAAGTATGAAGGCTATTGCTTAACGCATTGTAAGCCGCCCTGAGTCTCCGGAGAAGGGTGGCATATAAATCAAATTTAAAAAAAAATATATGGAAGCAACATTGAACTTCCTTTCCTATTGTTATGCCACAGAAGAGGAATGTGAAAACCCAAAATTCACTGTTTTTCAAGCTGTTACAATATGCTAACTTTTATTATTGAGAACCAAAGATGTATAGATCATTTGCCCAAAATGTTATTCTATGTCTCCCCATTTTTATACAATGCCTGCTATTTAAATTTTAATTCAATCCAAAATATAAAATCAAACTAGTTTTAAACCAGATTTAATTATAAAAACTAGATCTGATTTTGGTATCTTTATTTATCCCACTCAAAAAGAATGGAAAACTGCTCTGATGGCTAATTAATGACATTTAATACCTACTTTCTTGTAAAGGAGGAAAGAAGACAGAGGAGACTTTGTAAAAGCTTGCAGCACACTCATATCCATAAATGACACATCTTTTGTTGTGATGCTTAAATGCAGCTTTTGTAGTAGATTTCAGTGGTATACCATCAATTTTAAATCAGCTGGAAGCATATCTGTATTTTTAATGCCCAGAATTTTATTTTGAAATACATTTCTTAATCTTGAAGGCTTTTGTTATGGAAACATGTTGATAAAAATAGCTCATAATGTTTCCTCTATTCAAAATTTAATTTAAATAGGATGTAATTAGGGCATCTTGCAAGCAGACAAGAAGTTTTGTCCATTCTTAGCACTTAGCTAGTGTCTTTCTCGAATATTAAAGGTATAAACTTATTGTGCGTTACTATTGTTAGCACATATTGGATTCATGCTATGCAGGTATACCAGCAGTATTCTAGTGGAGAGTCCATTTCCACCAAAGTGCTGCCTATGTAAAATGTAACAGTAAAATATGTAAAAGTAAGTTTTACCGTGTTTTAAGTTGGCATCGTGACCTTGCTATATAGCTTCTGTATGACTACAAAAGCCATTCTCAGACATGAGCCTGCATTTGTTAACAACAAAAGCCTTGCCTCTCCTTCTTCATAGTAGCAAGTTACTTGGATCTCTAAAATTCACTTCTTCGGAAAGACTAGTTTTGAAGTGTACCAATGTCAGTGAGAAGTTAGCAAATTTATGATTATCATTTCAGCCAGTTCTTTTAGTTACTCCTGCCCATATAAACAAAACAGAGCGCTTAATTTATGAAAAGAAACACAATGTGAAAGTAGAACTCAAATGTGGCAATTCTTAGGAAAAAGTTTAGAATGCTGATGGCTTTATGGCCCAGTGACAAAGAATCTTCTGTTCTGTGACTTTCACCAAATGGTAACTTAGTTCAGCCAAATGAAACAAATATCTGGTGTTGGGATGAATGCCAAAATCATTTCTCACAACAACTTGCCTTAATTTTCCCCCCAGTAATTTGAAGGTTATCAAATGAATATATTTTAATAGCAAGAATTGCCCAGTTATAAGAGAAATAGGAGAATTTAGGAGATTCAAAATGTATGTAGATTACACAGAAGAGCTAAAAAACATTGAAGGTTGAGTTGTTGGAAGGGAAGCAAGTTTTAAGCAAAAATGGGCTTATGTATAGGGAAAAATCTTCCATTTAATCTGCCTACCCTTTTATTTGCTATTATTTCCATTTGCTGCTTTAGTTGAATTAGAAGAAGAAAAAATAAATATTACAAGAATGAAAACTTCCACAAGGTTACAATAATAAGTATTGTAAAAGGAAATGTGGAATGTAGG